ATAAAACCCGTCAGTGAAAAGATGCGTTACTTCTCCCCCAGATGTAACAAATTACAAAACTGCGTCAGACATTTACAAACCCTGATCTCCAGTTTTCACCTTATCTGACTTACGTAACAGCAAGAGCAGACAGTGCATGTTCATGTGATTGATAACAAACTGCTTGTTTGTGAGTTTACACCGTCCAGGATGCGGCAGTCCTAACTGTGCGCTGCAGTCACAGTTCTGAGTCTCAAGTCGTGGTGAATGTACGCTCCGCGACCTCACTGTCTCTTCACTTCCATTTGCCTCTGTGTTAAGCTCATCCATGTTTATCCTTCGTGAATCTGTCACACCTATAGCAAAGTTCATTCGGTTTTACGTGCCAATTATTAATGCTCTGACACTTGGTGTGACTGTGACTATGCCTCATCTGATGGACCTCATTGTCGTCACGGGTTATACATCTCTGCGCCCAGCGATCTTCAGCAGCCGATCCAAAGACCTTTAACTCGCTCTCTTCTTCTGTGACAGAGATCGAAGGCGAGGCACCGCCTACACGTCTTTACATCGCACCAGGTCTTCAGCCTTCAGTCAGGTAGCAGAGCTGGTTGGAAGGTAGCAGCACTGAACTCGTGTGAGGGGCGACGAGGGAGGATCGGAGATGTGCTTGTGGCATTGTTGCTGTAGCGAGTGCTGGCGGTCTCATTGAAGACGAAATTAGTGTACTTTACTCGCCCTCCTACAACGGCGATCAACCGAGTCCAGTTTTTCTTCTCTTTCCACACACCCAGGAGCTAACATCTTCAACCCTGCAGGAGTACTACGCGGACGAAGGCGGCGTCTGTGCAGAGTTCCCCCCCCCCCTCGTGCGGCTTTCCTTGTTGACTGCAGAATTATAGCTGGGAGTCGGGTGTTGCGTTCGTGACCGTCCTTTTTATCCCGTTGTAGCCATTTCGACTTTCGTCAGGAGAGAGAAGTCGCAGTTCTGCCTCTCCTATCCTGAACATTGCAGAATACAAGCGGATCTTACCACCTTTCACTTTGGTTACTGTGTCGTCTGAGTAGCCAGTCTGTATAGAGCGCCACAATCACGAAAGACGCAGGAGGTGGCCACGGACGAGGCCAGGACTTGAGCTGACCGCGTCTAGTCATGCCCGGGAGTTTGTCTGTGGTGTCGGACACTATGGGTTTGTTGGAGCAAGTCAGTGTCATTTAGCGCAAGTAGTGTGCGTTACTCTGGCCGAGGTGGTTCATGGGCGGTTGCGGTCGTCTGGGTGCACGCGTGTGGCAGTCGGTCAGACAGAAGATCAGCGCTCCCGGAACCGTTATCTGGGAAGGTGAATAATATTGACGCAGCCAGGCAACGTAGTGACGGCTGTCGACTACGCCACCTAGCTTGTTTGTTTTGTTACTTCCACCCAAAGAACGCCGGCGACTCCAAATAACACGGCATGAATCCACCCAGTTACACACATAGTGATGGGAGTCCGCGCCCCCTACTTCTGTCGCTGGACAGCCACCGAGCGTTTTGAGCGACATTCCGACTTTACCTCGCGAGAAATTAAAATGTAGTCTGAGTGCAGCGTGTACTCCACAGCTCATTTGTTTCCTTCTGGGACTAAAAGCGCCCGTCGGCGGCGTCTGGTTGAGTTTGATTACTGTGGTGACTCCCATGGTGTCGGCTTCACTTTGGGGTCGTATCGTCCTCAAGCACGAGGGTACAGCCAAAACCGCTGCGACAGTTGTGGAGCTTTGCTTCTGGGTGCAGGCGGATGTTACTTCGCGAGAAGGTATTATCTGTTCACGACTTCGAGAGACCTTGCATTATCCGTCTTGGTCGGCGAGGGCCAGCAACATCTGGAGAACACCCTCCTTAATATTCCCGCAGGGATTCGGAAGAAAAATATTGTAAAACTAGCTCGGCAGACGGGGCAGTCGCGCCCTCTGCCTCATCTTTTTTGCACAGGAAGGTGCTGGTTCGGCTACCGAGACTAGCCCATTGTTAGTCAGGCCCTCGTCCTATGTATGTCCATCTTGCTAGCACACTCGTTTCCTAAGGCCACTTGTAACATACCACGACGATATTGGCGAGATTACATGCTAGATACTAGGGTGAGGGAGTGTCTGGGTATTTTCAGACCTCAAATACTGATGGTTTCTCCCCGTTTGAGTAGTTCGCTTAGCTTGATTATTGAACTAAGATTGTATAGCGTATTCCTTGTTGACGAATCGGTAGCAAAGTTGTATGCACCACCAGGCACCGGACGCAGGACAACCTCAGTTGTTTTAAAAAGTTGTTGCAATAAAGACGTGACTAGATGCATAAGGCCGGATGGTCCCCCGAAAATTGGATGTCATTTTAGAGCCCTTTGTTCGAGCACGTTCTCTCGCAGCTGAAGGTCTAGCGTCTTTGTCCAGTGCCCAACTGCGCGTCAAGGTCATTCACCTCCCCAGTGAACGAGCGATTCCGGCCAACTGAGACATACACATGCGTTCAGTCGGACGGCCACAGCCATTCACGTCTCGGCCGATGCAACACACTGCCTGGACACAGACTCTTAAACAGCTGACTCCACGCAGTCAGCACATGCCCTGGCCTTGCCAGAGACAGGTTCTTCACACCCTTTGGTGTCTTCAGTCATCTGCTAATCGAGACATGGTACCCTGGATACACCCACCACGTAACCGCTACAGTGCTTTCACAACTCCTCGCAAACTCCTTATGCCAACTACGGGGATTCGGACAGTAGCCCGGTGCAGAAGAAGGGGGGGAGCATTAGGCATCCTGACAATTTTCGACAGCGCTGAGCAAATTGCCCTGTTCATATTGGGACTTAGCTTTCACAGTTTTTCGGGTCCATCAGAACAAAATGGCATGCTGACTCCTTTGGCATATTTCCATACGCCTGTGTGTCTCGTTATATCGCCTAATTTACTGTCAGATGTGAAAACGATGCTGAGAACGGTAGGTGTCTAAGTATGTTTTCTGGAATGTCTTGTGCACCCCGAAACTAAGCTCCGTCGCTGTCCATGGTCTTGGTCCCCATTTCGGTCAAATGGCGCCCCCTATCCGCACTTCAGTAACCTCCTTTTCTCCTCCATTCCGATCCATCCGCAGCGTGATTCTTCTCGAGAACATGGTCGATCCCTCCGAACTGGACCCCGAGCTGGAGGAGGAGGTCTCAGAGGAGTGCTCCAAGTTCGGCACAGTCCTGCGCGTCCTAGTGCACGCCAATGACACCGCGGTACGCATCTTTGTACACTTTGACTCACAAGATGCGGCCGCAGCTGCCTGTGCTTCTCTCAACAATCGTTACTTCGCCGGACGTCTGGTTGTAGCCCGACTCTACCCGGCTGAGGATTTCCAAATGCGTAACCTCGACCTCTGATACTGCGCGCCGCTCACAGCTCCTTCTACCATCTTCTCTCGTCTATCCTCCCGCTCGCCCCCCCCCCTCCGCCCTGCCAACGTTTCTGTTCTCACCCACTTGCCCTGTCCCTCGTGCAGCCCGCTCTTCTTTTTACCGCGTCCTCTCGCCATCTCTACACTCCTCTACCCGCCTGTCTATACCTCGATATTGACGCCTGTCCGGCCAAGTGTGTGTGTGTGCGCCTGAGCGTGCGTGTATGTACATATGTCTCGCTGTTTGTCATCTCCCAAGTAGAACAAGGGTGTGTTTTCATTCGACATCAGATGCGGATATTATCATTTTCCACTTTTCTGGCAAGCCAAAAGTCCCAGGGGTGAGCGGGGGCCAGTAATATCAATAACGGCTATTATTTTGTAATGGTTATAGTGGCGGCGGCCACAGTATTAGTATTAGCGGTAGTAGTGGTGGTATTGATGGTGGTTGCGGTGGCAGTGATAGTAGTAGTAGTAATAGTAGTAGTAGTAGTAGTAGTAGTAGTAGTAGTAGTAGTAGTAGTAGTAGTAGTAGTTGTAGTAGTAGTAGTAGTAGTAGTAGTAGTAGTAGTAGTAGTAGTAGTAGTAGTAGTAGTAGTAGTAGTAGTAGTAGTAGTAGTAGTAGTAGTAGTAGTAGTAGTAGTAGTAATAGTAGTAGTAGTGGTAGTAGTAGTAGAGGTAGCTCGCCAGCTACCGTACGCAGCTGTGCTCATTTTTGAAGCCCTCAACTATCCCAGGTCGACGCTTTTAAACGAAGAAGTGCAGACGACGGGTTGGCGAGTGTGCTTCGGTCTTCGATAAGTTCCTCCACAAACCAGCACAATTGTGGCCTACGAAAGTTGGTCGACAGCTTGCCCAATCTTCGGGATGTCGGCTATGCATGCCTCTGTGGCGGGATAATTCGGGACGTGCAACTTTCCTCCGGTCACAGCACTTGGCCAGAGCCTTAGGAGGACTGGCTCATGTGGTGTGATTTCTATTGATTCCGTCGTGGGGGAGGCGCTGTTGCAGTGACAGTCATTTGATCCTCCATTCGCCGTCTTGGCTACTGCACGCGGCCCGATTATGGTGCCATCTGCAGCCTCCCTCTTCGCCGTGAAGGTTCTGAAGCAGTAGGTGTCCATAGGGCTGTCTTGGATGGCATCGTCTCAGCCTTCGGGGTTGCTCGAGGGCCGACCAGGCCTCAAGCCATTACTGACCCTGCTATGATCTAAGTGCACGGTTTGTGCGATCTTGCTCAGGACGCACGTGTATTTTGGAAAATTCTTACCGAGACGGGCAGGACTGACAGCGTGGTCCCCGGCAGGGGAGATCTCGGGATTAACTCGGGCCAGGAATCCGAAACCCGTCAGGTGGAGACTGGACTTAACGACCAGTCCGGCAGGGGTGCACGTCCCGGCCCAGGGTTCGTTTAGCTGACGAACCCTGAACGGTCGTCCCCGTCTGCTCTGTCTCTTCTCATAAGACCCCTGCGTACGGGTCGAAATCGCCACGAGAGCTGACATCTGTGTGGGTCACAAGTATAGTTCCGTGGTCCTCCTACCCGATTTGGCCATCTCGCTATTCACCGTCAAGGTGCGCATAGCGTGCGTAGACAGACACCACTTACAATGGCACTGCTGGTTGAGCAGGCCGTGGACCAATAGTGCCAATCGTCAACGTCGATGGTGATGTTGCGGCCCTTTGCGTGCCAGGCCCGAATACCTGCCCTGAATGCAGCATCCGCCTATTCAGTGTTTGCGTAGAAACTTATTGCTGTACTGCAACCCTCATCTCCATCTGCCCACGACCTCTGTGTAGTTCACGTCTCAGACGGCCTCGGTTTCGGTTGCAGTGATCGGTTACCCAAAACCACTCCTCGGAACTCGCCTCGCCGGCAACATCTCAGTACGTTTGTTCGTAAAATTTTCTCTTAGCAAAAGAGACTGCGGCTTTTTCAGAACCGGAAAGGGGCGCAAATTGGGCGTCTTCCTAACGCACGCCATTACTTCTTAATCCTACGTGCTCGGGGTTACCAGACCTCTCTCAATGAACTCGCCATAAACGTCCGACTGGTGGTGTTGGGGCGGTTGTTCAGAAGACGACGATGCGATCACTGGAACAAGAAATATATTGGCCTGACGTTTCGGATTCCCACTCGAACCCCTCATCACAGACAGTCGCAGATAAGGGTAAGGGTGGCACAAGGAGTGCAGTATTTTTAGCACGTGGCTGCCGTGGGACCATATGCGCACTGCGCAAAGAACATCTCAACGCCGTCTTCCCGGACATTCAATTTACGATGGAGGAGGAGGAATACAACCAGCTGGCCTTACTGGATGTCCTCGTCTACCGCAAAGATTGTGGTGGCCTAAAAGCTAAACTGCTCGGGAAAGCAACAGATACGACGTAAATACTAAACTTCAACAGCAATCACCCGATCAGTCACAAGCGCAGTTGCGTAAGGACGCTATACCGGCGCGTTGAGAAGCACCGCAGTCGAATTGAAGACAAGGTTGCTGAATTACAACATCTTCGAGGGGTAATGAGAGCCAATGGCTACCCGCACAACTTCTTCTACTAGTGCATGCGTGAAGAACGTCTCGGAAGCCGTCAGTTGTCTTCTCACTCCGCTTGGAGTTGGGGCTGCGCACAGGCCGGAAGCAACCATCAGGAAGTGAACGTCAGGAATCGTTTACTGGATCTGGTGTAGTAGCGGACAAAGCAACTACGTCGGAGAAACTGGGCGATTACTCCGTACACGAATTGCCGAGCACGCAACAGCAGTGAAGTGGAGATATGCTAGCTCTCAGATGGCGACTCATTCGACGGGACCCGGCCATATTTTCAAGTTTCAAGAGGCCGAAATCCTCGCAAAGGGTGACAAACGCCAACTGCTCGAGTCATGGTTCTCAGGCCCGCATTCCATTAACAAGCGCAATGATCTCCCGTCACCCTATTCCGTACTGCGATTTCCACTGGGCAGGAGAATCAGTCACGTGGGCAGGGCGCGGGCGAACAATTATCCTAGTGACAGTGAGCCAATTTGCCGAACAATCGTCACACCAGCATCCAACATGGATGACGAAATCACGGCCATTAACGACTCGGATACAGACTGACAAGCCACAACCGCATCAAGTACGACCCCAGCGGTGATTGCGAGATCTGTTAATTACAGTGCGCATATGGTCCCACGGCAGCCACGTGCTATAAATACTGCACTCCTTGAGCCACCATTACCCACATCTGCGACTGTCTCGGATGATGGGTTCGAGTGGGAATCCGAAACGTCAGGCCAATAAATTTCTTGTTCCAGCGATCGCATCTTCGTCTCCTGAACTGCTACCTGAAACTCGCCTGTTCGCTTCTATCAACGGTTGTTGTTGTTGTTGCATGCATTCCCTTCCTGTACCCATGTCGTAAAGGTGTCCGGGCCGTCTTAGTGATACCACTGGACCCGGATGATGTATGCGGCCATAGCGCTGACTTGAAAATGCACAAGGTTTTGGCAAAGTATTATTGAATATTGGAATTACAGGGGGTTGCGTCATTATGTAGCTGGTTGACTTGCGTTGAATGACTGAATAGTCGGTGTTTACGTGTTTCTCGATAGAAAAGCGGGATACACTCGAAAAAGAAAACAAAAATGTAGTGATGGGTTACAGTTACCGCGACCGGATTGGGAACTGAGTGAAGCTTGTGTTCAAGAGACAGGGAGAGGGAAGAGAGTAAAAAGCGTGATGTGCTGGTAAAATATTGCTAAGGGAAAGGGTGCAGCGGTCAAGTATAAAAATACAATTGTAAAGTCGGGGTGGCAGGTGTTTTGTCGGTAACAGCGACCCGTAGGATATCACAGCAGAGGGATCTTAATGTTCGGTCCGGTACGGGTGATGGCAGCGCCTCTATAGCCGGCCGTGTCGACTAAAAAGAGGCAAAAATAAAGAAGGGACTCAGAATAAATAGTGGTAGAGGGACACTCACCGATCCGGTTACGGAACGTGGTAATCTCGTTGGGGCTTGAGGTCCAAACTACAATCCTCGCATGGCGACTATTGGTATATCTAGATAGGGTGGTACCGACAAAGACAAGGGAAACCAGAATGGCCATCTCTGGCTTACTAGTCTCCATCGGCCAATCATGCCTTACCACTGGCTGGATCAACTGAGATCCGCGCCCGGAATCTTTGGTCGTTTCGTGTGACACCACCATTGAGCCGCGAGCGCACTGTCCAGTCTGTTGCGATTAGGAATATTATGGTAGATGCCCAGATGGCCGAGAATTCCTGGAGGCATGCATCGACCGGCAAGCCGATTTGGATGGCACGCAAAATCGAACGAGCACAGCCAGTCCAGAAGAGATGACGAGATACGATTAACGCGTATTGTTGAAGAAAACCGTCAACCGCAGGATACTTTCTTGGGCACGGTCAATTAATAAGTGGTCTTTGTGCACCACCTAGTCTGACGAAAAGCTGGGGGACCAGCCACGAAAATGTATGCAGTTATATTTTTCCAAAAGAATTTCACTGTCAAATTAAGTTTCTTGGGGTGCCCGTTTTTCAATTCATATATATGTACAGTAGGTGGGCTAACTCATGAAATGCCAACCGAAATTCCGAAATGTGTTTTCGATTCGAAAAGAAGGGTTGTAAAACTAGTCAGCTTTCGAATGAAGTTCTTTCCGGCTGCATGCAAAAACCACACTCTGTAGCATTGATTCTCGACGCCCCTAAAAGTTCAATTATATTTCACGGAAAACATGCATAAAAATATTTATTCGTCTGCTCATTCGGTAGAAAATTACGTCTTCTTCCTATTTTATACTCTAAGGAGGGACATAATTCGCTTTTAAAAAAGTTTCTAATTGTGGGACTTAAATCCCGTGAAATGGCTGTTCACAAATCGTCGTGTCTCTGCATTTACCAATGTGGCTTGTAAAGTTAACAATATGGATCAAATCTACTGTTATATTTTATGAACCGTATATGGTCCCTCTTTAGTATCGCAAAGAAGTGTTTGGTTTTCCGTACGCGGAAAATATACGACTTGTAGTTTGGACACCCTGAATCCAAGTGTAACGGTAGAGCAAGTTCAAAATTATTCAGGAATGGGAAAACTTTTTGAAAACCGAATTATACCCTTCCTTCGAGTATAAAATTGGAAAAAGACGTAATTCTCTACCGAATTAGCAAAAGAATGAATATTTTATGCACCTTTTCCATGAAATTTAATTGAATTTTTAATGGAATTAAAAATCGATGGGAAAAAGCCATGCTACTTAAGTAGTTATTTTTGGCAGAGTGCAGTTTTTGCATGCAGCCGGAAGGAAATCCATTCGAAAGCCAACATCCTGGGGTAACTGAAACATTATAGAATTGTTGCAGGCTGACTAGTTTTACAGCCCTACTTAATTAATCTTTTCGAAATGGAAACGTATTTCGAAATTGCGGTTGATATTTCATGAGTTAGCCCACCTACTGTATGTATATGCGTGTGAAAAATTCATGTCCCGGAGACTTAACTCCATGTCCTGCACCGAGTAATTTTTTAAATAATTCACTTTATTATTCTCCGGAGTTCATAAGCCAGAAACTGCATAGAGGATGCTGGGAGACCAACTGATGAGCCGAGCCCCTCGCAGCGGCAGAATATCGACGAAACACGTGTCTGGGCTTTTAGCAAGTATCTATGTCGGGAGTACGGTATAATACCCTTAGCGTATGGATATACATGTATATATTCTACACTTGATGATTTCTGAAATTATTGGCTTGATTATTCTCTGGATATCATATTACCAGAAACCGCACTGAGAACGCTGGGGGATCCGGCGAAGGTGCTATTCACCCCGGTAGGTAAGAACACAGACAGTCACGGGATTGCTGTAAAGATTTCCAGCCTGAGGCGATAGTCAAAGTCAATGCAAACACGTGCGATGACGGCTAGTGCCCGAATGCCGGCCTTCAACAAGATCGTCACCTATAAATATTGTGATGCGAGGCAAACCGCTCACCTCAACGATGAAAGCTTGTTTGCTTTTGAAACGTCAGGGCAATACAACTATGGTTCCCAATATCCCTTCTTCACGTTTGAGGACGAATTGGGTAACCAAGGTCGAGAATTTACAAAATAAATTACGTCATCTTTTCCAAAGAACTTGTCTCTTTCGAAACATGTATGCGGACAGAATTACATTGCTTATAAAGACAAGGGAGACTAGAATATCCACTTCTGGCTTATTAGCCGTCGTCAGTCAGTCATACAGAGTGTAATACCCCTGAGACTCGATCCCGCGACCTGTCCAGCTCTCCTAATCACTGAGCTACCGGCTCGTTGACCTGTTGATTGCGATCAGGTACATACAATGATAGAGGAGTGCTCACCGATCGTGTTGCGAACTCGGAGAGAAATCGAGTAATACTTGGGAATTTTCAAATGGTTGTCGTAAACTATAATTAATTCTGAGGAGCAATGCTGCCCAGTCATGGCATACGAGACAATATTATTGTAAACACGCCAACAA